ATAACCTGTCCTTCCCCATCTAGTTTGTTAGCAACCACCAAAGTCCCTTGTGATCCTAGAATATCAAAATGGATAAAGCATTAATCTAAGGCTTACATTCAGTATTATAGGAGAAAATGTACAGTTGCTCTGCAATAGTTGAGGTTTCTATAGTTGTGAGCATGCCTGCTCACCAAAATGTATTTGTAACACCGAATCCATGGTGTTTTCATGGCCCTTGAGGGACATGTGAGTCACACACTGCACATACTCCTTGCGGAGGTGAATGGGCGATCCCCCACCTCTCCTGTGTGCAGTCAGTTGAGTGACACATTTCCTGAATTTTTGTGCTTTTTTTTTTTTTAATAGAGGCATGTTTTATTTATTTACTGTTTGTTTGTTTTTTGTTTACACATGCACTGGGTACAGTCAGAAGTGCGGGAGGGTGAGAGAATTCACCAGAGCCAGATCGGGGAGCAGAGCAGGCAGAAGGACTGAAGTACACTGCTGAGGGGAGCAGCGGGCGGCAGGAGAGGTCTGCGCGCCATGTGGGACCCTCCTCCGGTGGCCGGGGAGCAGCCGGGGATCGAACCGGCGTCGCAGAGGCCGCGGGCAGCTTCGCAACCCAGCACTCAACCGCTGCGCCACCGGGGAGGCCCTTTTGTGCTTTTTGTTGGTGGTGATGCTGCTTAAAATGACCCACAAGCATAATATAGAGGGCTGTCTATTGAGTCCAAATGCAGAGAAAATGCATGTGTGGGAAATATTTTGTTCAGACATGAGTTGTGGGCTGTTGGAGGTGAAGTCAGTGTGAATGGATCAACTATCTATGCAAAACAAGACATCTTTAAACAGAAGCCTGACCCTGCATCTCCCCAGGAACAATGGCTTGGGGTTCACCGGTTCTGTGTTTACAGCTACTTTGTATTACATAATTGCCACAAATAACTAGAATTGACTGTAATTTGCTTCTTTCTTCTACAAAGCAGGCAAGCTAATTTTTAAAGCAAATTAAATTAGACTTTTATAAAGAGCCATCTTTCTGAAACAAATGTACTCTTTTAATACAGTGACAGTCTCCTGAGTGCCTACTGTGCACCTGTCACTGTTCTGCTGCCAGAGGGACACCAGCAAGCAAGTCTTAGGGCAGAGCCCCATCATCAGGGTTAAAAGTCAGGTCATCAACTTGATATTTCTGTTTAAATTTGGTAGCAAGTCCAAAATAAGAGTGTTCTAATTATCACACAACTGTTCATCTTACCTTATGAAAGAATAATTTTATCTTAGAAAAGAATAACTTATTTTCATAACTGATATTTCTACTGATATTTCTCCCTCATCACCTCTCATAACCAGAGACTGCTCTTCTGGCAGGTTCCCTTCCACCTGCACAGATAGAGATAAGTGGGGATGTAATATGTATAACACACCACAAAAGGGCCCCCAGGCTCACTGGGTGAGTATTTGCTCACTCACCTAGCCTAGCCCAGGCCACATTGGCAAAGGCTCATTCTAAAGGCTGTCTGGTGACAGCAATGTTTTCCTGCAGCATCCAGCTCAGGGCTAAGGAGATGGGGCCACATCTGGAACATGCCCAGGAAGCCACGTATTCCTTTGAACAACTCTTGGGGCAGAGTTTCCAGTTCCTCACTGGAAATAGGCCCAAGGCTTTGGGTTTTATCAGGTACTTATAAACCTCTAGTCCAGATGTAATGCATACATTAGGGGTCATGTGTCCCAGTCCTATCCAGATCCCTGGGTCCCAAAACTAGCTTTACTCCTCTGAGCCAGATAGCTGAGCCTCAGTTTCCTCCACTGTAACATGAGGAGATGGTGAAACCGACCTCATGAGTGGCATGGTGACTTCATTACTAAGCTGTGTGAATTGAACATTGTCTTCAGAACACAAGGACCCTGATTTTGTAGATAATGTGTTTTGTTGTTTTTTTTTATTTAGACACAAAGTTTTGTTAAGGTTATATGTAAGGGGGAAAAAAGGAAATTCAGGTGCTGAGTCCTGTAGCATATCCATAATTTGGAACAAGCTGATGGTTCAGTCGTAAGCCTGGTAGAAAACACTAGTATCTAAATGGGCCATATCAGAGCTTGCTGACTGCAGTGTATTGGGAGTTATGAAAAACAAATATTCTTTCCTTCTGTATTCTAGACCTGCATACAAAGATAAACACCTAATAATTTGAGGCAGAAATAGGTCAGGGCTCATGGCAGAAATGTGGACTGTGTCTTGGAAGATGCTGGACCTCTAGTAATATGGACTGAAATGGGGTAGCCTGGACCTGGGACCTGAACCACCTATAATCAGTCTTTGATTTGAGATAAGCAATAGGGGCTTCTGCTCAGATATGACTGTAATTACATCTCAGCCATTCACTTCATTCATGCATTAGCAGATGTTTATGGTCCAGATAAGCACATTGGATTATTCATTCATTTATTCATTCATATATACAGACATACATTTGCCATAGTTTGTCAACCATCAAAGGATAATCACATCCGGGTCATTCATTCATTCTTTCATATGATAAAAGCTTCTGGACTATCTCTTATAGAATAATCACATCTCAATTGCACATTCATTCATCATTTATCTGACAAGTTTTAACCAGCCACCTGTTGTAGGATAGGCACCAAGTAAAGGGGAACAAAGGATTCAGCTCCTACTATGAGAGTCTTACATTAAAAGAAATATGGAGGTAGGGCCTCCCTGGTGGTGCAAGGGGCTAAAACACAACCTCTGAAGCTATCCGCAGCCACTGCAGCACGAGTTCCATCCCCGATCAGGGAGAAACCCACATGGCACAGCAGACCTCTCCTGACTCGCCCGCTGCTCCCCTCAGCAGTGCATTTCAGTCAATCTGCCTGTTCTGCTCCCTGCTCTGTGTCTGGTGAATCCTCTCACCCCCTGCACCACTGGCCTGTACCCCAGTTCTTGTATGCATAAATAAATAAATCTTTTTTAAAAAAGAAATATGTAAGTATTAAAAGGCAAGGCTTTTTTTTTTTTTAAGATTTATTTATTTATTTATTTATTTATTTATTTATACAAGCACTGGGTAGTCAGAAGCGCGGGAGGGTGAGAGAATTCACCAGAGCCAGAGCGGAGAACAGAACAGGCAGACTGACGAATACACTGCTGAGAGGAGCAGTGGTGGCAGGAGAGGTCTGTGCGCTTGTAGGACCCTTGCCCGGCAGCCCAGGATCGAACCGGCATTGCAGAGGCTGCGGGCAGCTTCACAGCCCAGCACTCAACCGCTGCGCCACCAAGGAGGCCCGACAATGCTTTTTTTTTTTTCACTCTGAGAAAACAGAATCTCAGGGCAGGTTGCCATCTGGAAAACTGGAGACACTGGCACAGCCAAAGACACTAAAACCTGCTTCTCAGGAGCAGAAACTGCCAGAACCATAGATTGGTAGGAAGTCTTAAATATTTTGGTGACTTGCTGAAGGCTGCGTATGGACTTGAGGGAAAGAAAATCCACTGGATCTCAATCTCAAGAGGACCTCCACTGTCGTGTACTGTACCTAAAGAAACCTTGTTTTTAGAGTGCCTGAGTCATGTTTTCCTCAGGTGTGATGAGACAGGAAGACCTGGAAATTACTGTCACAAAGGAAGAGATTTTTATATTCAGGGATCCATAGAAAAGAAAGGAAAAATGAAACAAAGAACAAATGTAATGAATCAAAAACAGTTACAAACATGGTAAATACTAATCCAACTAAAGCAATAATTACTTTAAATGTAAATTGTCTAATTATAGCAATTGAAACACAGCATTTGTCAGAGGGACTCAAAAAACAAGCTGCAACTTGAAGTTGTCTGTGAGAGGCTCACTTTAAACATAAAGATTAAAAGTAAAGGGGTAGACAAAGGCATTTCATGCTAACGCTAACACTCCATGCTGCTTCCCTGTCTGCTGTGGGGCGAAGCCTGGCTTGGCCACTTCCAGCTCTTTGTCCAAGTCGGGGAGGTGACACAGCTGGAGTGAGACATGGGAAAGCCTGCTTACTGCTCAGAGTATGTGATTTAGTAGATGTTTGAGAAATCACCTCCTGTCTCAAGCTGACAGAGGCCCCGCGTGAAGTTGTATCACCTGCTGGTGCCAGGACGGACTGTCTAAAAGGAGACCCAGGAGCAGGGTCAGAGAGAGCTGTCACAACTCTGCTGAACTGGCCCATCCGTCTTCCTGTTGTAAAGGTCTGGTCTGCTCACCCTTGCCAGTGTTGGACTGTGAATTAGATCCTGAGAACCCTGGTTGGGCCTTTTCTAGGACTTTCCTCCTATTTGGTCAAGGCTTCTGGTGGAATTTGGTATTTATAATGTTCTAAGGCTTTTTAAAAAAAAAAAAAAAAAAATCATAACAGGGCCTCCCCTGGTGGCTCAGCGGTTAAGCTCTGGGCTGTGAAGCTGCCTGCAGCCTCTGCAGCACCAGTTCAATCCCCGGTCAGCCAGGGAGCAACCCACATGGCGCAGCAGACCTCTCTTGCCGCCCGCTGCTCCCCTCAGCAGTGTACTTCATCACTCTGCCTGTTCTGCTCTCCTCTCTGGCTCTGGTGAATTCTCCTGCCCTCCTGTGCTTCTAACTACCCAGTGCTTGTATAAATAGATAAATAAATCTTTAAAAAAAAAAATAGTAACATACCCAAGAAAATTTTGGTACATGCTATCTAACAATTCAAAACCAAGTTTGCTTAGTAAGAACTTTTCAGGGGACACCTTTCCCACCTGCCTCAGCAACTGACGGGCTCAGCCCTGTCCATCAGCACACCCCAAGATTCAACTGTGGTTCTGGTGGGATCCTTGACTTCGAGACAAAAAAATGGTGTTGCTTCATTTGAATGTGCAATTAAAAGAGGCCTGTTTAGGGGCCCGGGGATCTCTACTTCTGCTTTCTGGGTGGTTTGCATGCTGAAGCTGGGGAGAAGGCGCACTTCCCTAATTATAGACACCCACAACAGCGGAAGTGCTCCCGGGCTTGTCTCTGCTCTCTCTCCATTTCTGTGGGTTCTCTCCTTTCCCACACTCCGTGCTGTCCTGGGCTTCTGACTGCAGGCTTGAATCCAGGAACGGAAGGTAGGTCCAATGTGTAGAAATCTAGTGAATTCAGAGCTTTGGCTTGGGACCCTTCCCTCTGTGGGCGTCCATAGGAAGGACCTTGTGCTCACAGTACAGCGAGTTCACATCTGGGCTTGTGTGTGTTTCTTCCCCGGTCTGCAGCCAGCCCTTTCCCCCATAAAAGCTGGGGGTCAGCCGGTGGCCGTGCTAGTTCTTGCCTGATCAACCTGTGGCTGGGCTTGCTTTCTCTCTTCTTATGCCCCTCTTACCTTGAGCTCGAGCATGCGTATTATGTCACAAGTTTGTGAAATCTAAGGATAGTGTCACGCTAATTGTGCATCGCCAGCAATTGTTCTTTAATTGACTAGGGGAAAAAATGGTGGTAGATTTTTATATTTGTTTCGTATAACTATCTGTAGATTTCAGTCCTTTTTGTTCAAATGGGGTAGTTCGGCTTCTCCAGCAGCTGCAGGGTCCCTGTGACGATTGTGTGGTGAGGGGGAGGGATGGGAACGCAAATAGTGCCTGGAAGCTGAACACCATCAGCCACTTCTAATATGAGTTCTCGTGTCTACTATTTTGTCCCATGTGAACTTTCTCCAGAGGAGAGTGAGAGATGGGGTGGCTTTTGGAACACAGCGAAAGGCTGAAATTCACGGAGAGATGTCCCAGGTCCCACACAGGCTCAGCCCTTTCCTCTTCTGCTCAGAGAGCACCAGAGAGGGCATTGCAGTGACACCTCTGGAAATGATCACTGATTATTGATGTTCAGTAAGCCCCGCTCTCATCTGAATAAAAGGCCCCCTGTGCACCCCTCTGCCGCATGGTGAGCACACTGTGTGATGTGGGGCCTGGTGGGAAAGCTCAGGGTGGGCTTCCTCCCTCCTGGCCATTTTTGGCCTGCCTGGCCCATTCTCTCCCTAAGCCCTAGAGGCCGACAGCCCCTGTGCTGTCACTTGGGAAGTGAAACGTTGGATAACAACAGAATTCTTAAACACCTGAGTGCTTGAAATCTCCAGGGGTGGGCTGTTTAAGATCCAGAGTTCCATTTCCATGCTGTCTCCTGGGCCGGAGCTGGGGTGAGACACCCCCCCCCCCAACTCCACCATGTCCAGAGCTGTCTGGGTGGGGCTGCATTTCCAGGGCTGAGTCTGACAGGTATGGGGCCCTCATGTCCAGGACTTCTTCTGGGTTTTGACCCACACCTCCCTCCTCCACCATGTCCAGGACTGGGTGTGGGGTCAGAAAGACCACGTTTAGGATTGAGTCTAGGGAGCGGCCCTGAGGACCATGCTGGGACAGCACAGGACTAGGCAGGAGAGAGCTCGCACCAAGAGGTTCCTTGTGGGCTGGTTTGTCACGTGAGAGACAAGGAGACGTGTAGATAGTGGACCCCTGTATTCTAACTATTCTGGGCTAGAACTGGGGTCTGGACCAGATCCCTCACATGTGAGCCACTCACACCTGCTGTGGCCTGAGGCAGGATGGTCACTTGTTATTCCCACATGCTGCACCGCCAAAGGACCATACGTAACAGACAGTCAGCAAAGCACTGGATGAAGGTAGGATGTAGATTTTAAAGTTAAATCTGCTTACAACAGGCTGGCTGCTCAGATGTGACCAACTATGTTGAGAGTTGACATTCATGTTGGTATCAAGTTATAGTGTCTGTGATTTGTGCTCATTACCTCAAGATAGACATAGTAGGTAGGCTCAGAAGAAGTTTCTTGGGCATGTATGGGGGAGCCTGAAATATCCAGCTGTTGACTGAGAAACATCTGTTTTTGCTTGATATGATTTCAGGACTTTCAAGTTCTAAAGGCACAGAAAAGAACTCAGGTTTAAAGATTTGAATAATGTTTTCCAGTATCAGATCATCTAGTAAAGTGATGTTCTGTAGCCTTAGATTTACTTTTTGTTTACAAAATTAATCTTTTGTCACATTTTATCTCTGAAATATGTGTCTCTGACCTAAAAAATCCCAGCCCCTCTCCCTTCAGGCTGGGCTCTCTCACTCATGAAAATTAAGCCCACGGAAGTTTTTCTTTTACTTAATATGACTTAAGTAAAAATTTATTTTTCAGCTTCAACCCACAAAGGAAATTCCCAGGCAAATTTTATTGGGGCTGCTTTGCATGGATGAGTCTGTGGGGCATTCAGCATAATCAGCTGAGCTGTCTTTTTGCATCTTCCTGATTTTCTTGCCTAAATGGTCTGCTGATGGTGCAAGATGTCCCCAGATGTTGTTTTCCCAGAGTACCTTTACTTCTGCCCCATCTCTCAGTCCAGATGATATGAGGTGGCTCTGTGGCCCAGAGGTGTGAAACCATCTTGACCCCCTACGCATTATCTCAAATGTTTGTTCCAGGAAGCTGAATGGGTCCTCCCCGGAGGTGCAACGGGTTGAGTGCCGCGCTGTGAAGCTGTCTGCAGCCTCTGTGGTGCGGGTTCAATTCCCGGCTGGCCAGGGAGAAACCCACATGGCACAGCAGACCTCTCCTGCCTGGCCTGCTGCTCCCCTCAGCAGTGTCTTCGGTCCATCTGCCTGTTCTGCTCCCCGCTCTGTCTCTGGTGAATTCTCTCACCCTCCTGCACCTCTGACCTGTACCCCGGTTCTTGTATAAATAAATAAAAAAAATCTTAAAAAAAAAAAAAAAAAAGCTGAACCAACTGTGTAGGGGCAACGCCTGCAGCAACAATGCTTTACCAGGTATTAAGAAAAGCAGAAGCATTCAATCCAAGGCCCAGGCCTCCCTCTGATAACTGGGACAAGTAAGGTTTTAAAAAAAGTATAGGCCTCCCTCGTGGCCTAGGGGTTAAATCTCAGCACTATCACCACTAAGGCCTGAGTTCGATTTCAGAATCCACCTGTTCTTCTCCCCACTCTGTCTCTGGTGAATCCTCTTGCTGCCTGCATCTCTGGCCTACACCCCATTTCTTCTATGCAGAAATAAATGAAAAAAAATAAAAAGAAATTAAAAGGAAGAAGTACAAAGCCATAGACTAACCCTTCTGGTAATATTCCAGGTATAAAAACACTGAAGTACACACAGTTTTAGGGGACAGAATGATACATTAAGAATAATCTTATACCGAGGGAACCTTGGGTGCCTCTGTCAGTCAGGTGAGGTCTTTGAAGGAGGTGGGGGAGACTGGGAAAAAATTGTTTTCAATTCATCCTCATTATTCACTGCTTGTGTATTTTTATGAATTATGAATTCGCCTTCTCCCTAAAATGTCTTTGCCAGCCCAGGTCAGTAGTCAGTGTACTCATGGATATCCAGAATGGTGAGAACTTTGAGTTGCCCACAAGTACTTTCCAAGCTGAGGTCTGTTCAACAGGCTGGGTCTGCCGCTTTGACCCAGCTCTCCCTGCATACAAGTGCCTCTCAGGCTGCCCTCAGGGAACACGACTTTATTATTTGTTACTGGAAATACTGCATTTATGCTGGGCAAGCATGGACTGTTACTTTTTTTTTTTTTTAAAGATTTATGTATTTATACAAGAACTGGGGTACAGGCCAGATGCGCGGGAGGGTGAAAGGATTCACCAGGGACAGAGTGGGGAACAGAACAGGCAGACTGACTGAAATACACTGCTGAGAGGAGCAGTGGGTAAGACGGGAAAGATCTGCCGCCCCATGTGGGACCCTCGCCGGCCACCTGGGATCGAACCTGCACTGTAGAGGCTGCGGACAGCTTCACAGTGCAGCGCTCAACCGCCTGCACCACCAGGAGAGGCCCGGACTCTTACTTTTAATTTATTAAATTGCTGTTTGTTAAGATGAGACTACTCAAGTTATGTTTTCCAAACTCTGTGCATTTTAAAGAACAAAGGTTGCCCAGGCATCATTAGTCCTGGTACTGGGGACATGGGCCAGAAATTCCAGTTGCAAGGGGAGATTGTAACTGTGGTCACTGTGTTGTTTCTGTAGCTCCTTGAAGGGTTGAAGTTAGGTAGGCAGAACCAAAGCCCAGAGAAAAAATAGGTTCTTTTCTAGACAACTCCCCGCCACCCCCGAGTATCAAATGCAAATGAACCCTGACCAGCACTAGGTGGGATGGTGAGACAAGAAAACACCGTATCTAGTTCTGTTTTACTCTCCCTCATTCAAGGGGGTTGGGGGGGGGTGATGTCTGTGGCATCTTGGCAGTTTGGGGCTGCCCACTCCCATTGCACTGTGACTCGCTCCTATTTTCTATTTAAAGCCCTTATTCAAGGGGTCCCAGTTGCTGTGGGCAGGCACTTCCACACTCTCCGCTATGACTGTGGTTGGTTATGGTGACCTTGGTTCTACCACCACCGTGTTTGCAGGTGAGGGACTGTAGTGTGGACACTCCACAGCAGGCGGAGCTGGGATGGGATGCAGCCCTTCTACTGTGCACCCTGCCCTGCTGCTCAGGGCTGGGCTACACCTCCTTGCCCCGGGAATTCCATTCTTCTGTCCTGGCTTTTGCCCACAGGTTATAATGTTGATAGATTCTATAAGGGGGTATTTGTGCATCTTATTTATTGGGAAGATGCCAGGGCTGCTTTAGCCAATGGAGAATGATCTACTGCGCAGGTTGAGAAATGAGAGCTAATGTAATGAAAGGTGACAGAAGGAAAGGAGTGAATACAACAAGGGTGGAGGAGTAATGCAAATTGAGGGTGGGGTATGCTCTGATCACCCGAGAAAAGGGTAGCGTTTCATTAGCCAGAAGTGCAGTGTGGGTGCTGGGGAGCTGAGGCCTTGCAGGCCTGTATCTTTCAGCACCAGGCACAGACCACAAAGCGTGGACCACCAAGCCCAGACATGCAGGGGCCATGTGCCTGGGTGTTTAGGGCTATTCCTGGTCCCTGCCTGCTCAGTAGTAGCAGGAAAGCTGGCCACACTTTTAAGAGAGCCTAGGGCAAAATGAAATTGTATGCAGCAAAGCGATTGGGTTGGTGAACACTCTGAGATAATGTCATGTGATGGTGGCTAAGCTAACTTTGAGTGGAGTGTGGAGGTAAGAGTAAGTAAAGATTATTTAGGAAAGCAGACTGAGAATATTCTGGGCATCCTGCGGGTAGCAGAGTATTGAAGCTGGGGTAGGACAGACAGGGATCATGTGGGAGACGTGTCTCCTAAGTAGGTGGTGAGCTCCATGCATGCACTAGGCTTCCTTGGGGACTGGACAATCTGTAAGGAGGAGGAGCGAATGTTCTCCAATACGCTGTGACGCTGCTCTGTGCTGTCCACCTGCCAAAACCACAGCTGCATATTGGGAGTTAATCTAAAAGCCATGAGCATGCACCACAGAGACTCTCAGAGACCACGTCAGCGTGCTTCCATTACAGATGTTTGTGGCCATCTGGGAAGCCCCTTATCTTTAAGGGCTGTGTGCAGTGAAATAAAGGAAATAAACCCTTAAGTTTTGTGATGTAAAGATGAGTGAGGAGCATGGAGCCTCCTTAGAGCTGTCGTCAGCCTGCACTCCTCTGAGAAGGCGACATGAGCTGAGGCCACAGGCCTGAGGAGGAGGAAATGAAGCAGAGGACAATGGGGTATTGGGGACAATGCATCGGGACAGGAGGATTGGGGTGACTGGACACGGTAAGCATGGGCATAAGTGGACCAGACAGTCGAGGGGGCTTGAGCCAGACCAGACAGGGTCATGTAGGCGAGAGGAAGAGAACTTGGGACATCACAGGGGTGAGGACATGCCCGTTGGGAATGCCTATACTGGTCTGTAGGGAATGGGCCATGAGGAGGATGGTGGAAGGGACAGCAGTTGGGTTTCCATGGACATGAGTGGGAGGGGGCCGCCGCCGGAGGGGAGGGTAAGAAGCCAGGGCTTTGAGATCTACTTTAGAAGCAACTGAGGTATCCCAGGCAACCAGTTGGTGCAACCTCTTCCTAGACCACCAGTCCCCAATGGTGCACGCTCACTGCAAGGACATCATTTCTCTCCTAAAGGGACCTGTCCCAGCGACAGAGGGACTTTTCTGGTGGGAAACACACTCTTTTCAGAACCTGTAGGTTGGTCATATAGATGAGTGAGGGAGAAAGCCTGAAAGGCTCCAAGATCTCATCCCAGCAACTGTTAGAGTCTTTGCTTCTTCCTCAAGAGGAGGCTAGGGTCCGAGGCATGGTGCAAAAGCAAAACTCTTGAATTTGCCATAGCAGGTGAGAGCTAATATCTGAAAAAAAAGAAAAAAAGAAAAAAGAAACAAAAAAAAAAACACGAAAAACAGAGATGAGAATAACTGTCTGGTGCTGAGCTCTTGTGGGGTTGGCTGGATCAGAGGGGACTGTCTTGCATGGGAGGAGGCAGGAGGAGGTTGTTGTGGGGAGGAGGTTGGAGATCAGAAGGCCTGGGCAGGTGCCTGCGGGAACCAGTCCTGAGAAAGCGCTCAGGTCTCTGTGGACATTGTTCACGCCCCCAGTTAGCTAACCCAAGAGTGTGCCTAAGCTGCTATGATACTGTGATTTATAATAAGAAATATTTATTTGGTCTTTGTCCCCTTTTCTGGAACAACGTTCCTAAAACCCTTGTAATTTCCTAAGTGAGGAAAACTATAAAGGTGTCTTTGTTTTGTTAATGGGGTGACATTTAGGAAAACACCCAAAGATGGGGGCCAGCTGACCCCCGTGTGAATAGAGAGGGTTGGAACTTTCAGCCTCACCCCAGACCTCCAGGGAGGGGAGAGGAGGTAGAGGTTGAATCAGTCACCAACAGCCAATGGCTTAGACCATCATGGCTATATAATGAAGGATCCTTAAAAATCCAAAAGAAAGGGGCTCAGAGTTTCGCAGTTTGGTGAAAACATGGACCTTTGTGCACCTGGAGAGGAGCTGTGTCCCTTCCTCATACCTTGCTCTCTATCTCTCCCATCAGGCTGCTTCTGAGTTAGAGCCTTTGTAATAACCTGATCATCTAGTTAGTAAAAGAGGGGCTGGTGACCCTCTGATGCACAGCCATCCATCAGACACGCAGGTGACAGCCTGGGCTGGGAACCGGTGTCTGCTGTGGGGAGTGGGGCCTCCTGTGGCCCGAGCATCTCTGGAGCCAGAAGCTATGTCCAGGTAGGACTGAGCTGAACTCCCAGACACCTGTGCGTGTCCCAGCATTGCTTGTCAGTGTGGGGAAGCCTCCACACAGAAACACTGGGAGTGGGTTCAGGAGCCTACGGGGGCCGAGCTCGCAGTGAGCCATCTCTGCTGCCAAAACCACCAACGGCCAAATGCGTCTTCTTTCAGCGGTAGCCCGCGGCTCCTCAGCACAGGAAATCACAGTCAGCAGGCGGCTGCTTGGCCCTGGAGCCTCCCACAGCATAGCAGCTGGGCCTTCCCCACCTCTCCCCACCCCACCCCCCAGGGAAGCCAAAAGGAGCCACCTTGGGGTGGCTGAGATGAACCCTCCAGGCCACACAGGAGTACCTCCTGCATGTGCCTGAAGTCTGGGCCCCAGCAGGCTTCCTGAGAGTGACTTGCCATGGCCTTCTCCTCCGTGTCAGTGTGAGAGGAACGCCAGAGTGCCAGCGCTCACCTAAATGTTAGCAGCAAACCAGTGAATTTGAAACATGCTGGTGGCATTGTTAAGCTATGTTTAAATTAAAAGGTGTCTGCTAATATTTAGCCTATTGTTCATGAAGTCGTATTTTCAGTTGAGGCAAGTGCTGGACGGCAGCTATGCTAGAGACTGAGCCGTCTGGACACCACCCTATGTAGGTCTGTAGGATGGCGGTCCCCAGCAGGGAGAGAGAGCCAGGGTGCAGGGTGGGAGGGTTGGTCTGTGCACCAGGCCACCTAGGACTCAGGCAGGGGAAGGTAGGGGCACATGGGGAGGACCATGGAGCTGCATAATGGTTGGCTGCTGGTGGAGGGGCAACGGGAGGGAGGGGACACCAGCCAGCAGGCCAGGGTGCTCACAGCCGTGTAACTGACAATGTGGGTAGCCAGGCGGTGGTGATGAGACGAGAGAAAGGAGCATGCACCAAAGCCATTCCAAAAAGGAACCAAGCAGAAGCCAAGACTCTGGGAGGTCCCCCAGGTTCCTGGCTGGGGCAGTGTCAGGGCCAGGGCAGGCTGACAGCTCGTGGAGAGCTTGCTCAGATATGCCAGGGACCTAGAGTCAGCGCTCGAGATTGCTGGCAGAGATCCCAGGCAAGAGCATGCTCGTGGAGAAGTGCTGGCTGGAGGGAGACCTCCTGGAGACACAGGAGTGGTGCTGGGAGCTTGTTGCAGGAACAGGGCATGGGAAAGGAGCACTTAGGGGGTTCCCTGTGTGAAGCTGCAGGCAGAGAGCTTCTTCCAAAAGCGGTCGTCCTCAACTCGCTGTCTCTGCATGCAAGTCTTTTTGTAGAATAGCTTTCTTAGACTTGAGAGCAAAGGTGGACTCTACTAAACACAGGAAAATTTCACTGAATTTTTAGAAGGTTGGGTGAAGAGAAGTTAATCATTGGTAGTCAAAATGTTATAAGTAGTAACAAATTTGTTTGCACAATCAAATTATAATGAAGCATGTCTTATTAGGAGTGAACTCAGGAGCAATGATTTAGTAGTGTTGCCTAGAGAAAATTTTACTACCTTAATCAGGCAGATTTTCTTATGCCCACAGCCATCTACAGGATAATCCATATTGAGAGGAGACTGGTTCACATGATCGTCTGTGTGTGCGCATGTGAGATGTGTGTGTGCAACATGAAGGACCATGTACTTTTCTCCCCAAATGCACAGATGAAGTCAGCTAGATAATTTTCTATTGGTGACAAGACCCTTTGGGTATCCTGGAAATGCATATCCTTCTTATCTACAACCACAGCTGAGAGCAAACACTCCTTGTTCAATGTGGCCGCTGCCTTCTTTCTTCTCTTTTGAAGTCTGGATCTGTTTAATACAAGAAATTTCTTCCCTCATCTAATGTGAATCCTCGCTGTGTCTTTAGTACCTAGCTGGTGCCCAGAAGTGGTCAGGAGAGGTTCATGGAGGGGACAGTGTGCTGTTAGAGTCCAGGTGCTGGGGTGGGGGTCACTTTTCATGCTGCAAGCTAGCAGCTTGTCAGTCCTAGCTCCCAGGTGGAGGTGGTGGCCACAGGTTATGGTTTCACATGGTGTGTACATGCAGCCTGCACTTCTGCAGTGCATGACTATACACCGTAGACCCTGGATGTTCAGGGGAAGGGTATTCAGAAATGTTTCCACTAGTCACGTAGCTTGGCCAGCACGGTCATCTCCATGCCTGGAGGGCCATCCGGGTCCCACCCACGGGCACCTGCTGACCAGCAGGCAGGTTCATGAGCCTGTTTTGCTCTTTTTCATGTGTCTCTTAGAATTCACTGTTCCCACCCAAAGAAAAACATTTAATTGGCCACATTTTCCAATGTTCAGTTTTTTAGGTTCCCTATTGGGAGGGTAGACTGGGAAATCTAATGATGACATGGGCCAAAAGGATGCTTAGTTAGAGCTGTACATCCAAAGCCCAAGAGGGTAGGGCACTCCTCCAGTTTTGGAGGACCAAAGGTCTCAACAAATGTCCTGACCAATGTCCCATCTCTGTGTTGTCCAGGAAGACCCTGTATGCACCCTTGGTCCCTGACGGGACAACGCAGGCATGGCTGACGTCGCCAACCACCTGCCCTATTTCTTCGGCAACATCACCCGGGAAGAGGCAGAGGACTACCTGGTGCAGGGTGGCATGAGTGATGGGCTCTATCTACTACGCCAGAGCCGCAATTACCTGGGTGGCTTCGCCCTGTCTGTGGCACACGGGAGGAAGGCACACCACTATACCATCGAGCGGGAGCTGAACGGGACCTACGCCATTGCCGGGGGCAGGACCCATGGCAGCCCTGCCGAACTCTGCCTCTATCACTCCCAGGAGTCAGATGGCCTCGTCTGCCTCCTCAAGAAGCCCTTCAACCGGCCATCTGGGGTGCAACCCAAGACTGGACCCTTTGAAGACCTCAAGGAAAACCTCATCAGGGAATATGTGAAGCAGACCTGGAACCTGCAGGTGGGCCACATATGGGGGGCCCTTGGGCACACTCTCCTGCTCTGTAACTCCATGCAGGTACCCTGTTCTCTGCAGACCTGTGCCACAGTGTTGCAGATAAGCACCAACTCCTTGGTCATCAATCTGGGTCAAGAAAGACCTTGCTCCAAGAAGACATCCTTTCCTCTCTTGGTGCCGGGGATGCCTTCACTGCAGGAAAACACTGCCACCCAGGTCGTGCTGGGCCCTATCAGAAAGGCCTTGGCAGACATCCATGTGCCTGTCAGCAGTGGATTTTATAACAGCAGAACAGCTTACAGCGCTCCTTGTGTCAGCGCCCGCAGAGCTATGTCCACCTGCGGGGAGCTGCCTGATATTCCCACCCTGCACCATGATTTATCTAGCTAGTGCCTATCGATGGACACTTCTTGTTCACAAATAATGGTGCTAGTCACATCCTACTCTACCCACGCTTCTAAGTTTTTGCACACTATCTGTAGAATTAATCCTAAGTGGGCTATGCTCGATTTGTATGTATTGACAAGGTGTCATCCAGAAAGGTCCCTGAGGGTGAGTGTTTGCATTTCTTCCATACTCTCCATAGCTCTTAACATCAGAAGCCACAGGTTGATTGGCAGCCACCTTCCTGGACTTTCATGTTCAACCATCTCTCTGCATTTCCTCAATGGACACATCATGGTTTTTGCTGTGTTATCTAATACTTGTAGGTCTATAGTACAGGCTTCCTAAGGATTATATACAATAGCTTCTGTGGACTCCTCTAATATGCTCTGCACTAAATTCAACCTTGCAGACAGTAGTATACTGTGTGCTCAGTATTTTTCATTAGTGTTTCTTAGATGTGTCTTAAACCATTTTTTTATTCTTTAAAGTCAGGTGAATTAGATTTATTGAGGTGTAGCTTACACACAATAAGCGTCATCCTTTTTATTTTTTTTTTAAATATGAGGTTTTTTTTTTAAAGATTTATTTATTTAATACAAGAACTGGGGTACAGGCCAGACGCATGGAAGGGTGAGAGGATTCACCAGAGACAGAGTGGGGAGTGGAACAGGCAGATCTACTGAAATACACTGCTGAGGGGAGCAGCGGACGAGGCAGGAGAGGTCTACCATGCCATGTGGGTATCTCTCTGGCCCACCGGGAATCAAACCTGCACTGCAGAGGCTGTGGATAGCTTCACAGCACCATGCTTAACCAGCTACACAGTTTTGATTTTAGGTGTACAGTTTTGATTTTCAGCATACACATAGCCTCAGGTGAACCCCCATCAAAAAAGGTTAACAGTTCTATCAGCCAACAGGCACCAAAACACCCTTATGCTCACCTTGACCCCAGCCCCTGCTGCCTCTCATCTAATTTCTACCCCGATAGCTTTGCCCCTTCCAGTGTGACCTGCATAGCATGGAACCTTTCGCCGACTATCTTCTTTCAGAGTAGTGTGCTTGAAAATGGCCATTGCTGCATGTCAGTGGTTTGCTCTGTTTTGGCAGACAAGTGTTGCACATCCTCACTCTGACCTCTACTCCCTTATTTCAAATACCTTTCTGTATGTAAACTATGGCTGTGAAACATGAGCAAATCACCATACCACCTCCTGCTCTCTTCCCTGTCTCCCATCTCCTAGTGGGGCTCAGTCATTGCTTTGTTTTTACTTCTGGTTCTTTTATGACTTTAAATAATCAGACTTGGGTTCTTCTTGTGCTCATGGAGGATCTCTCTCTCCCCTGCCCCCGAGAGCTTCTGCCCGCCCCTTCTTGGTTTTGTCCTCTTTGCTACCACGTCTGCTCTGCTGAGCTTTATCTTCTCCATGTCGGTGACCATCTCCTGCACTTACTGGCCACAGACAGGGTTAGCTCTCAGAACTCCTGGAGGCTGCAGGAAAGCACGTGTCTCCTGGTTGCACTCATCTTAAGTCTTCTCTGTGGTCATAAGGGTTGAGACACTGAACCGTCAGCTCTAGAAGGCAGTGAGCAGCTGACGGGAGGCCCCATCTCTAGGTTTCATGTGGTATACCAGATGGCCTCTGCCACATCTGGCTTTTCAAAGTCCAATCTCCATAGACTTAAAATCGATTTTGTTATTGATATGCTTACAGGTGCTTAAATAATATATAAAGATCTTTTTGGTGGGCCTCCCCTGGTGGCGCAGCAGTTCGTTCCTTGGCCATGGCGAGGGTCCCACAAAAAAAAAAAAAAGAAAAAAGAAAAAAAATGAAAAAAAAAAGATCTTGTTGGTTTTATCTATTGATTGAATGAACAAATGAATAAATAATTTGATCATATTTTACCTTTTCATGAATTAGGACAAGTTGGGAAGGATTTCTGGTTTTTTGTGTTTTTTTTTTTTTTTCATGTTTATTAGTATCTCTCTGCTTTCCTTGGTAGGGTCAAGCTCTGGAACAGGCCATCATCAGCCAGAAACCTCAGTTGGAGAAGCTCATTGCCACCACAGCCCATGAAAAAATGCCCTGGTTCCATGGAAAAATCTCTCGGGATGAATCTGAGCAAATTGTCCTAATAGGATCAAAGATAAATGGAAAATTCTTGTAAGTATTATGTCATTTCCCTTATCCTCCTGTACCGGGCTTGCTCAGACAGTTAGGGGAAACTGAGTTGCCCTATTACTGGACTCCATGTGACCCCAGGGAAGGGGTCACATGCTGTCATCTGACAAAACTCGTGTTGGAATCAAAGCTGTTACTTTTAACTCAGTGTTTGTTTTGCCCTATTTGGCCACTGAGGGACATGTTGTTTAAAGAAAATGTTACTGGACCGCATATTCTGCATTTAATGGCAGGACGTGCAACGTTATTTGTGGTTATCCACCCAAAGGCAGAATTCCAGTTTGCTCACTCCCATGTCCCCGAGATCTCTGACTTTACTTCTGCTTTTACTTGGGACTAAGTGCCCACAAGGCAAAAAGTAAAGGGAGTTTTCTGAGGGTAGTTCAGCTAGTGCAGCTATTTGATTGCAGCAGAGTGAGCAGCCCTCCAGCCTTAGGGTCCTCAGGAAGGAGGGGTGCATCAGCGCGCTGCCCATTGTCCTCTGGGCGGTCAGTGTGAGCCTCAGCATTAGAGGTCTTGGGGCCAGGTCTTCTTGGGGCGGGAGCTGTGAGTAGGAGCAGTGAGGTGTTGTCTTGGTGGGGGGCAGCCTGCTTCCTCGTGGTGACACCGAAGGGTCCTTGTATTTGTCATTCACCGAGTGTGACCTGCAGGTGTTAACTAGAGCCTCAGATAATCTGTCACTTTGCCTTGGGCACTTACAAACAGCAGTGCAGCATCACTGCCAGGCATGTGGAGTCACATTCAGATGAAGCTGAACTTTTCCTTGAAATAGAAGTGTTTTTTGAATAGGCATCTATTTAAAGAATGCTCCTCCCGGTTTACCATAATGCCTCTTATTTGAAAAAAGAGTTTAAACTCAATATTCTTTTATCAAAAATGACCCTAGCAACAAGAAGAGAACATTCCCATGGGCACACAGCAGTGGTTGGGATGATTACAGTGATGTTGGATGCACTATGGCCACCAACAGAAATCCTCTTGGGGAGACACTTCTCCCTTAATGTGGCACCTCTCAGCTCATTTCCCTCGAGGTTTGGACTTTTACCATATTCTAAGAAAGTATTGTTTTTTAAAAATATTTATTTTGCATACTGGGGTACAGGCCAGAGGTGTGGGGGGTGAGAGGAGTCATCAGAGACAGAGTGGGGAGCATAACAGGCAGAATGACAGAAAAACACTGCTAAGGGGAGCAGCAGGCGAGTCAGAAGAGATATGCTGCACCATGTGGGTACCCCCTGGCCAGCTAGGGATTGAACTCATGCTGTAGAGGCTGCGGATAGCTTCACAGTGCTGTGCTTAACCCCTTGCACTACCGGGGAAGTCCTGAAAGTATATCTGACACAAATGTCACCGGACTGCATTCAGAGCATGTTGGCCTCAAATTGCATAATACAAGCCTTCTCCCTGGTGCGGACTCCTGCTCCTTCACTCATCAGGGAACAGCTGTGGTCAGGGTGGGCTACCTGCTCCCCACTTAAATGAGGGGGTGCTGCCCAGTAGCTCCTGCCCTGGACCAACCAAGGGGACCACTCCCAACATGGCACCAGAGTGCATGTTTCCCAAGCAGTGGTCTTGTTACATTGAATCTCAATGTAACCAGGCGTTCCAGAATAAATTCTCGTATTTTCATACTTGATTCTTCACATCATGCCATAAACAGAAACTTCACAGAGCTGAAAGGTCACTTTTGCATTGTAAGCCACAAACTGAGTGATAGGATTCTACCAGTTTGGTTGCCTAATGCAGGCAAACAAAATGCCAGAAATTATTCTGAATGCATGTATCAGTAATACAAAGCAGCTGTCTTCACCATTCTGATAACCTCCACTGTCTCAGTTTGACAACACCACATTGGAAGCAACGGTTATACAAATCAACTAACAGTTTGAACAAAAAATTGCTAGAACATGCTGTGGCCACCCAGAAATACCTTTGATCTAACAGACAGAGAAACCGTGGATGCAAAGGCAGCATATTTCAAAAAGTGTGAAACCTAATTTAAAATGCAGAAGATACATTCCAGAAACCCAAACTGAACTACCCATATGGACCATGGCTCGGCAACCTGACCCACTGGGATTCCAGTTCTCTCTCTTCATGAATAGGGTGACACTGTTTGCAGCAGCAAAATACCTGAACCAGAGGGACTTCATTGCTAGTGGGGCCAATTCCTTGACTCTCAGACAAGACCTAAGCACAGAGGAGCTTATCCATGGTTGTCAGGCACATTGGAGACAAGGGCCAGACATAGGCCAAGAGGAGACCCCACAAAATACACATCCAGGGACTCCACTGCCACTGGCCCCCACCCCACTGCTCTATTCCCCATGCATGGTGTGACGCCCTGCTTGTCCAGATTCAGGGACTTGTGAAGTGTGGACTTACTTTGTTTTTGTTTTTGTTTTTTTTTAAGATTTATTTATTTATACAAGAACATGGGTACAGGCCAGATGTGCAGGAGGGTGAGAGGATTCACCAGAGACAGAGCGGGGAGCAGAACAGGGAGACTGACTAAATACAATGCTGAGGGGAGCAGCGGGCATGACGGGAGAGGTCTACAGTGCCATGTGGGACCCTCGCCGGTCAGCTAGGATCTAACCCACGCTCTAGAGGCTGAGGACAGCTTCACAGCGCGGTGCTCAACCGCCTACGCCACCAGGGGAGGACCAGTGTGGACTTACTTTGGGAAGAAAGCTGTCAGGCACTGCACTTGCAGAAACAAATGCAGGCCTGGAGACTTTGCAGAGGAGATGTACAATGTAGGTCAGCAGGTGTCTGTGGCACTTTTGGAATAGTGATTCTGTGGCAGTCTTCTGTGGCACTTCTGGAATAGTGATTCATCTCCTGCTGTCATGAACTAAATGTTTGCGCCGCCCCCCATTCATATGTTGAATCCTTGGTCCCCCCGGTGATGGTATTTGGGGGTGAGGCTTTGGGAGGTGTTTACATTTAGATAAGGTCTTGAAGGTGGGCCCCTGGGTAATTAGTGTCCCTGTATGAAAGGGCGGAGACTGGCGTGCTCTCTGCGTGCCCATGCAAGGCACCATGTCCATATGAGGACATGGTAAGAGGGTGGCCATCTACAAGCCAGGAAGATCTCACCAGGCCCAGATCTACTAGCATCTGGACTTCAGATTTCCGGTCTCCAGAACTGTGAGAAATAAGTCTGCCATTTTAGCCCATCTGGGGTGTTCTGTGAGAAGCAGGGTCTGGTGGCCAAATGTGAGCAGCAGAGAGCACCTCCAGCCCAGGTGCTGTGTCCTGGAATCAGGAACTGCCACGGTGGATCTAGCAATTCTTTGTTCAACTGTTAGTGATGACAGGGCTGGCGGCAGGAGCCGGGCATGCCGGGGTTTGTCTCTGGGTCGTGAGACTACAGCACTGTTTGCCATTTTGAGAAATTAGTCACAGCTCTGTCATGACTAACACATGAACTTGTTAGAAAAGGGAAACAAAGCATATTTTTTCTAAAAACTTTATATCCATTCCCTGAAAGGAAGGATCCAGAATTCTGGTGGGGTGGGGAGGGTGCAAAGCCTGTACAATTGGACACCCTCTTTTTGAAAAAAAGAAAAAATCCACACAATTAGGTACAAAATAAAATGTAGATTAGAGTGAGGAAAAATCATTAAATTATAAATTTTAAGCTAATTCATCAAAATAATCAAAATTTAGGAAAAGAAATATAATTCTTTTGCCTGACACATCTCTATAGCACCTTTGATAGTTTACACCTTGAGACTGTAGTGTTCACCTCTTCATTTGACAATATTGAGTGTTTTTGGTGTGTATAGAAAATAGAAAACTTCAACCCTCCTCTGATGTGTGTTCACAATTAGGGCCAGTGTCAATTTCGAGAATGGAAGTTGGAAGAAAGGGTGGCTGCCTCTGGTTGTGATTAAATATCTTTTGTAAATCATACACACACCTCCATGTGGTCACATTGGGCTGGAGGAGTCTGTGTCGACAGTCCTCGGGGCCCCCTGTGCTGAAATTTCTCACCATGCGGTTCAATCGGGCTGCTAAAGGCTGTGCACAAAGTCGCCCCAAGTGGTCGTCCCCGCTGTTGAGCAGGGCTGTGCTGTGACCCCCTCCTTTCATCATGTAAAGCAACTTAGGTCAGAAACACTAAAAACCCCAATCCTGTAAAAGAAAACAAAATGGAATTGTCACTTTCTGTAGTGTCCAATAAATAGTTCCTTATTTTTGGCTAAAGTCCTTGCAAACCTTATAGACCCAAAAGCAAGTAAGAAACGACCAAATGCAGGTGGTGAGTCTCCAAAGAACTGAACTATTTTTTTTTCAGATTTATTTATTTATGCATACAAGAGCTGGGATACAGGCCAGAGATGTGGGGGGGTGAGAGGATTCACCAGAGACAGAGTGGGGAACAGAACAGGCAGACTGACTGAAATACACTGCTGAGGGGAGCAGCGGGCGAGACAGGAGAGGTCTGCCTCGCCATGTGGGTTGCTCCCTGGCCAGCCGGGGATCGAACTTGCGCTACAGAGGCCGTGGATTGCCTCATAGGGCAGTGCCTAACCCCTAGTGCCACCAGGGAGGCCCCAGAACCGAACTCTTGTTACAAAGAAAAGGTGGTATTTCAGAACTTGGGAGTCATCAAACCGATGTCACCAGGGCCATTTCATTGTCATTTGTCCTTCCTGACTAGAATTTTGCTGTTTAAAAAAAAAAACTACAAAAATAGTCTTTCATTCAATAAAACATTTTTGCATTCTACCTGATATGCAGTGTGGTGATGGGGGCGGAGGAGACTGTGCCAGGATGGGGTCGGCCCTGTCTGCGCCAGGCTAACTGCCCTGAGGAGGGTGTCAGATAACACCTCAGGTTCCACCCCTCATGTCATCCTGTGTAACTATGCCACCCCAGGACTGTCAGTATTACCTTTTTTCCTATTTATGTTCGCTTGTTCACAGTCCTTCCAGCTCTGACGGCTGTGAGTGCAGCCTGGCTCCCGCCAT